ATATTTTTTAAGTATCAACCAAATATTTTTTAAATATCAACCAAATATTATCAAATTATCTGTTTAATATTGTTTAAGTGGAAAATCGTGACTAAAGGGTATAAAATGATCGACATTTAATAGTAAAATACGGCGGGTATCTACTATTAAAATTTATTATTAGCTGAAATGGCAAAAGATTCTCAGTATAAAATGTTGCGGAACAGAAAATATACAGTACAGCTTGTTAACAAAGGACAAATAGACTTGAATCTTCATTATGGAACATATGCTCGGGACTGGTGGAATAAAAATATAAAAGTTACAAATAATAGCACTTTAAATCTTCCTTTTCGACTTCACATGAGTGTAATAACTAAAATAAATGATTACGATTTTGTTTTATCTGTTGTTAACAAACCTTCAAACCCATTACAACCGGGCTTTTTATGTTCAGTAGGAGAAAAATTTATTGATATACAAGATACACCTTCAGCGGCTATTAACCTAATGTATCAAGAAGTTATTGGAGTTCAAACTAAAACTGAATATTCAGGACTAGCAGTTTTTGGGTTTTATAATGAAACAATTGTTTTGGAAATAATTTCTGACATATCGTTCTATCCATTATATATACAGATTGATAAATTTTCCATAGTAATTTCAAAAATCAGGTATTCTTCTCAAGAAAATCTTTTTTATGCTGGACCTGGTTACACATCATCTTTAATAACATGCTGTAGATCTGAAACATACCTTATCTTGCAGCAAATATTAGAAGATCACTAGTGTAGTTTGTGGGTTTTTAAGGGAAGAAATCAACTGCATCAATATGTTGGCGAAACACCAACTGTCGTATAGAAAAAATATGGATTACACTAAAATAAGGATCATTACGCACTTTTTGGGTTAAAGGATCAGCAAGTTCAAGCATTTTTGATAAACAGCAAAGAAAACGTGGTGCCTATAATATGTACATCACTTCATTAGAACAATGAATCAATTCTGCAATGAATTTTTAACTTGCATATTAAACGCAGAAAAATTCTAGCTCCTAATGACAATTGGCAAGTTCTTTTTACTCAATGGGTCACACAAAAAAGCTCAATAGTTCAGATACCGCATGTTCTAAATAGTATATATCCACCTAATCATACATTCCAACACAAAGAATTGTCAGCTTGGTGTACAATGTTTCGAGCATGTAGATGTACAGATATTACGCCATATCCAAAGAGAGAATTAAACATTGAATTTTGGACATATGCAGTAGATCCGGAAGCAGATCGACAGACTCTCAAAAATTTATATCAATAGGGATTATTGCAAACACAGGGTTCTTCAACACTAATACTGATACAAAACAGAAATTTTGGAATAGTTTTCGTCAAGCATTAGATGCTAGCAAAAGAGAGGATAAAGGAAAAATTCGAGTACTTTCAATTATTGCACTTGACTTTAGTTATCAAGATCTTCAAAACGAATTAGGAGTAAGGCATTAAACGTTTGGTTTTTTTATTGAAATATACTATTAATACAATACTATTTGTTAAAAATATAGGTAATATTAAAAACCTTATACAAAGCCAGGAAGCACGCACGTCTTTATGGTCCCGGTTCCCCACCAATTGAAATGCCAAAAAAAAAAATTTCAAAAAATGGCCGAATTTAAAGAAAAACAGTTCGAATTATTTTTTTTAGACAAAAATAACGTAACAATAAGTTCTTACAAGACGAATCCCAAAACCAATTTACCTATCCTTTATTTTTCTAATAACAAAACTGAACTTTGGAAAAAGTTTCAACAAACATTTCCAAACGAGATGAAAAAAACCTCCTTCATGGGTCGAATTGAAAGTTGTACGCATCTAAAGTACCAAGACGATTTAGGTAGTCTTTGTGTAATCTGTAATGAATACGGGTTTGGCTCATTCGAAAAGTTGATAGGAATTGCACGGAATACGTTCTTTGACAAAATAGAATTAGTATCAAATTTCTTGTTGATATTTAGATTGTATTTTTTATTGCAATTTTTTACTTTTTTTTTCTTTTTATTATCCTTATTATAACGATTTATTCTCTTCCTTATTTTGTTGCGATTTTTTTTTTATTGCAACATTTTTTTTTTTTTTTTGCAATTTTTTTATTGCAATGTTTTTTTTTTTTTTTTTGCAACATTCTTTGTTGCAATTTTTTATTGCAATGTTTTTTTTTTTTTTTTGCAACGTTCTTTGTTGTAATTTTTTTATTGCAATGTTTTTTGTTGCAATTTTTTTTTTTATTATTGCAATGTTTTTGTTGAAATTTTTTTTTTATTGCAATGTATTTGTTGAAAATTTTTCTTTTATTGCAATGTTTTTTGTTAGAATGAAACACTTTCACAAATTGAGCACTTGTGGCGTCATCTTAAAAGAGACTTCGAACGAAAATTAATGATATTACCTGATGGAACGATATCGCATGATCCCTGTATCGATCATTGCCTACCATATGCCTTTGGAGAATGTTCGACCCCACATAATTCAAGATGTTCAAAGTGTGAACAGTTTCATAGGTTTTTTGATCAAATAGAAAAACGTGTAACTGATAGATACAAAATGCAGTTGCATGAAATTAAGGAAAGGTTGGAACATTACCTAGGTCACCAAGCAAGGAAAGTATATCTTAACGCACAATTTAAATCAACACTAGCTCAATTAGATTCTGATGGCACGTTGATTGTTGCAGACTATAAGATGAGAATTCTTCCAAAGTCTGCCCACGAAACTAAAAAAGAGTTTTTTGGCAAGAGAGGTTGGACTTTGCACACCATTCTAGTTTTCAGAAAAATGGAAAATTGTGATAAGTTAGATATTCGGGCATTTGATCATTGGTCTACTGACACAAAACAAGATGCTTGGTTCACCACTTCCTCATTTAAAGCGGTATTTAAATCACTAGAGCAAAAACCAAAATGGATAACAATAATTTCCGATAATGGCGCGCATTATCATAATTCAGAGCTAATGACTATTGTTGCTCATTGGCATACTTGGTACTCAATTAAAGTCAATCGATGGTTATTTCTGGAGCCAGGAGAGGCTAAAACCACCATTGATTCCCATCATGCAAATGTAATTTTTTTTTTTATTACTAAGTTCATATTTTCAAACTTAATTAGATACTATCTAAATGTTTTTAATATCATGACAGATTGCTCATAGTATTAGGTAATATGTACGAATTGGATTTGACATCATTGAAGGTGAGAATATAGTAAAAGCAGCAGAGGGACTGTCTAGAACGTCATTGGCACAAATCACCATAAATCGTGACAATAAAAATAGGAAATCAGAGGTTGAAGACACTGAATCAAATAAAAAAAAAAAAATTAGAAATCTAAAAATTAAAATGATTACAGAAATCTCAAAGTTTTACTGTTGGGAGTGGCCAACTGAAGGACCTTTGGCCGGATTTATTCGCGCTAGAGGATTACCAGATGTGGGACCATGAGAAAACTTTTCTCTAGCAGAAATCGCAAAATTAACCGATGCACCTATCGTTCATCCAAAGCCGATAGTCTCGGCACATACAAAACCAACGTCTGATTGAACCATTCCAATCCTGACGATTCAAGATATGTAACAGTGTAAAATATATATCCCTTAAATTGTAATACAGGCAAATTTGCCTGCGTTTATTTTTTTAAACTTTATTTTTTTAATAAAATCTT